TGCGCAAGGGAGCTTATTGACCTACTCGCGAAATGTTCCCTCCGTTGATTTTTGCTGTTCCAGGCGTACTATGTACCCCCTAGTCGATGATGTCACAATTCTACTCTCACTATGATCTGCTGCGGCTAGATGTCTCTTGGGAGAAGGGCTACATTGATGGCAATTTTCATCAGTGTCATGGCATGCCTGGCGTAAAATTGGTAATGGCGAGGGGCGCTGCTCACCTCAAAATGGGTTCAGGTCCGGATTGGCACAAGCCTCCACTCCTCGGGTGCTGGTGAAATCAGATTAGGCTTCTTTGTTAAGTATGTTGTTGCATTGAGCATCGACATAAGCCACGCTGGCCCATATTAATGACTACATGGGCTCACTAAACGCTGGGAAATAATCGGGATGGGTTAAATGACGGTGACAGTGCAACCTCCCCCTCCCACAAAATGTGAACCGGCGCAGTTGGGTGACGGGGGCATTTTGCACTTTGCTACTTCCCATCGACGTGTCGACCCATCTAGACAGCCTTTCTCGAGTTGACAGGTTTTACCATGATGGCTTGACGAGCTTGCTCCAGCTTCACAAGAGTTCACAGGTTTCACCAGAGTGAGACTTGTAAACCAGAACTAGTGAAGCAACGAAAGTGCAAAATGCCCCCCCCGTCGTCGAACTGCCCCTGGGTCTTCATACTATTCTATTCCATCCATTACGACACCTAACTGACACCTTAGTGTATTTGTTGGCCTTCGATGATCAAATTTGCCTCCCATCCAATTTTTCCGCCCGTTTTCCATGTCGAGCAGCGAAGCGGACATGAGTGGCGGCTGCCTTGAAACGGGAAAACTACCGACCAAAAAAATGCCTAGTTCTCACAACGCTCTCCCTTCCCAGTGGTCAAATAGGACTCCCTGTTGGGAGAATCCTATTGGGATTTACGCCAAGCGAATAGACGTACACTGACTAAACACCACTGAACATTAAGGGAGTCGGAATGAGAGGAATGCGTGGCACATGGTAGAAAAAGCCGAAAAATCAGAATGGTAGAAAAGGTCGAAAGATCAGGATCATTTTCCTAATTTTTTTTGAATTTTTTCTACGTAACGTGTATATTGTCCCATCGGTAGAAAAAGCCGAAAAATCAAAATGGTAGAAAAGGTTGAAAGATCAGGATCATTTTCCTTAATTTTTTTGAATTTTTCCCCTAAGTACGTGGCATATTGTCCCATCCTATGAAGCGCCTTTCGCTTTAGCCGTAAAGATGATGGCAAAAGGGCGGATGTGACGCTCATTATATGAGCCACGAGGTGCTAATTGACACACCCGTGAAAAAAACAGCAGAAAAAGTCATCAGAAGCATTAAAATAAGTAACCTCCCCCATTCCTCACGTCTTACGAGTGAATCATACCGGAAAGGGACTCAGTGGAAGCCAAGGTTCTCAAAGCACACAAACACTTAGAAATGTGCTAGTATTGGTATCAAATGGTAAATAGTGCCTAAACAGGAACTAAAGGACCTATTTCAATTAAGATGATGTGGACTCCTTATTTCAACTCTAAATAGGGAAGAACGGCGCAGTTCGGTGATGGGGGGGGAGGCATTTTGCTTTTTTACTGCTTCACTACTTCTGGTTTACAAGTCTTACTAGGTGAAACTTGTGAACTCTTGCGAAACTGGAGCAAGCCGTCGCGTCTAGGCCACGCATGCCTAGAGCGTTATCAACTCGATAAAGGCTATCTAGATGGATCGACACTATCGATGGAAAGCAACCGGCCCCCCGATCGCTGAAAACCGTGGCAGGGAAGGAGAAAGGAAAAGGAAAACCAAGGAAAATTGTGAGTGCTGAAGCATATTTCGCTCCGTGCGCCTGTCGGCATTGAGTCCAGCCTAGTACCCCGAACAAATCACTCTACTTTACGACGGCAGGTTTTCCGAAGGAGAAACTACCATGTTTTTTAACATATTTTAGTATTCAGAGTGTAAAAGGATCAGGCTTTGCCAGAGGTAGATGCAGCTCTAGACTGGAACTGATGAATCAATTATTGCAGAATTTTTTGCATGCATATAAATTAGGGAGAGAATTTAGAAGGGCAGAAAAAGGGCGGCTTGTTCTCTATTTGACGCTGATTAATGGGGGGGGGACCTGTACCCCTCCACATGCCCCTACGCGTCCTCATCCCTCTGGGCTTGAGGCTAGTTCGGCCACTGCTTGATCTAAAAAAAAACTTTTGAAATCCGGATAGAGCGAGAGGAGAGGGAAGGTAGATTCACACTAATCAAGTGGGCGGGCGGCGTGGCGCGGCCTTCGTAGGCCGAATCGACACAAACTGGGTCCGAATAGAAGAAAGACACATGGCGCAACCTGGCGATCTAACCATTTGGGCACTGTTCGGCTTGAAGGGGGGGGGGCATTTGACACGCTCGCTGGTTCTTTTGCGAGTTTATGTGAAACATTTTCATTCTTGTGGGGCCGCTTACAAGTTTTTACAAGGTGTTCTGCACCTTAGCTGACAACCGCTCGCTGCCCCCCCCCAAGCCGCACTGCGTCTCCGTTTGATAGCTGCTTTTGTTTATTCATCTAACAAATGGCACAGACTACTCACTGGTAGGTCACCTCGGGGTAGCCCTCTCATCATGGAGGTGGCGACTGAGCAGAATATTCTCTTTCTTCTTATTTGCCTGTTCGTTTAAAGAAAATGTGATGACTCTCCATCCTTACTTGGTTTTCTTCCGATCACTTTATCTTTTTCCCTATCTGCCTTCGACTGGTATTGATCCGTTACTACTTTCACGTAGACTGTATGTTTTAATGACTGAGTCACATTCCGCAATAACCGAATAGGCGGGGATCGCAATCATTCCGCTTTCCTCATTCGGCCCACGCCATTGAGGAAAACAGAGTGATTTTGAGTCACCGCCCTTTCTCCCCTTATCTGACTATCGTAGCATGCCCCTCGAACCGTCTTCAGTTCACGTGTAGTTGTTTGAATTCATCAGTTCAATCTAATTTTGCTATTTCTTCTATATGATGCAGTTCAAAGCCTCAGGAGATTCCAGAAAACGCACGCAGTCTCAATGTTAAATGGGATTGCGCTGCTGCACACAGAGGCCACCGAAACAAAGGAGGTGAGAGTTCACGTGCATCAGAAAATTCATGTTCAAAACTCGTGACAGCTTTGCGTGCGGTCGCGTGGCAACCAGGCAATTTGAAGAAACCTTCAAGCTTTCTAGTTACCTTCACCAGAAGAGGATGCTCTTTTCAGAGAGATCAAAATCGGTTGTTTCGGTGTCGATGGCGCAGGAAAGACGACGATATTGAAGATGATCAAAGGCGGTTAGTTAAGATCTAGTTGCTTCCAAAATGTAATTCCCCCGTGCTTTTCAGAAAAGCTATTGATTTTACGCGCGAGCGCGCCTAGACATTGAAAGCCAAGAAGCGGCTCGAGCTGTCTGTGATTGTCCGGCGCTTCGTTCCTAAAAAATTTGACTCTTGCAGAAAATCCACGAGGGGTCCTGTCAACCAACGGCTTTTCCATGATCGATATGGAATACAGCGACGAATTCACCATCAAAGTCTACGATCTCGGTGGACACGAACGAATTCGCGACATCTGGACCAATTACTATGCCGAGGTCAGTGAAAGTTCCAACCCAAATGAAGCTCTGTTAAGTAGTAATACGGTTTAATGGCATTATCTTTATTGTTTGCTTATTTATTTGATGCGCGTTCACAGTCCTTATCTCGGCATTAGAAGGGGCGTGTGAGCGGACATTGTTGTGAGACCGGCGGCGTCTGCTTGTTACGGTCTGCTACGGCGATTTTCGGCGCTGAGGGTTGTCATTGCGGAGGGTTGTCATGTTAACTGAAACGTCTCGCGCACGTCTCGCTTTGGTTGAACCTGTGAACTCTTGTGAAACGAGTGAATCACTTTGGATAAAAGGACTAACAAGTTTTCACAAGGTAACCAGCGTAAGCTTCGCTGAGAACCATTTAGCGCCCCCATCAAGGCCCTACTGCGCCATTTTTCATTCACGAAGCCGGTTGTCTCGGCATTTCCTGCGCTGTCCTTGCCGTCTTGTACATATGATGTCCATGCCTAAATTTGTTCCCTAAACAGGCAATTTCTCGTTTATGCATATATTCCGCATTCACAACCACGTCCGCGGACACGCCCTCTCCAACTCTGCGTCATGAAAGAAATACATTGGGTTAACCCTGTCGTGGAAATAGTACCCGTAAATGATTGGGTATTGTGCTCTTCCGAAGCTCATCCCAAAAATTTTAAGGATTCAGAAGGTACAAGAAGCACTTCTCGACAAAACCACTCAGCAGAGTAACAATAGTTTGATTGCAAACATTCGAACACATTAGAGTCAAGTGAGCATTGAAATGGCCCTCGATTTAAAGTGCTGGGTAGAGTACATGGCGCATACCGAGAAGGTGAGCATTCACATTGAGGAACAGCATTTACATAGAGGAACTATTTACTCGTTTACAGTCGCTAATAAATTGAAAAAAGGGGCACTCAGAGGGTTTTTGTACAAAACTGATTTAACATCTTCCAAATAATATAAAGAATGGATTTACGGTACTTAAGACTGGTTCACCCACATCGCGGTTCAATCCCCTTCTGGGTTAGGTAGGGGTCCCCATCTTCATTCACGGTAGTTCTGTTTTTGCATAAAGAGCCCAACGAACGCCCCGAAAATTAGTGGTGCCTTTTTTACAATAAAATATCAAAGATCTCAGTACACCGATGAGTAATGGGAACTAATAGTAGCATTTCTTTTTTTCATGCCATACGAGGTTCTTTAGATGGAGCCTTTGCTCAGCCTGACGTTTACCGTGCCTTTTTCAGCTAGGGGTTCTTGGAGGCGAACGACTGATGCCCATACCGATGTATGTGCTCCTGTAGTTCAACTTATTGTTTGTAAATTACTCTAACTTTCCCACAACTTTCTTGTTTACGTCTGGGCAAATAACACAATTTGGAGTCGTAGACCAAATTGTGTAGCTATACGGGGCTAACACATCACAGAACATCAGATGCTGGTCAATGAAAGGTACCACGCCACGGAAAGCAACTTTTTGCCGGAGCAGTTCGACGATAGGGGGGGGGGATCTTGCACAAAATCTTCGCCGTTGATCAATCCCTTTGTGGGATGCGGCACGCATTCTACTTCCATTCAGAATCGTAGTGGCTTATTGAATGCGATGTGGCCTATACAATGACTTGCGGTGGCCAGCCGATGTACAAGTCAGTGTTTTATCCTCCCAGACGAATCTGGTACCAATTTACCGTCCCCAGGGTAGAAGGCTTGGTTGGCCTAGGCGGATTCGACCCGGATTCGAACCCAGGATCGCAGGAGTGGTGAGCGCACTACTTGTCACTACACCACCTCCTGCCCTCCTGCCTGCCCGAATACTATACAAATTAAGAGCTCCAACTGTCATCAGCTCTCTGAAGATGATGGATCGGGCAAAAGCGATCAGGACGAATGAAGGTACCATCTAAAACCTCATCTTACGGGCCGATCTTTCAACAAAGGATAATATGGGGGCTCAGAAGAGAACCAGAGAATAGTTTGCTATGGTTACCCTGGAGATGAGATTTATGATCATCATGATTTATACCTTTAATTGCTTTTCGACTACCTCACGCTTAATAGGTGGTAAAAGTTCAAGCGGTCTCTTGAGCATAAAAAACTCAGAGAAAGGTCCTCAGAAGAATTTGTACAGGTACCTCAGGTGGTGATGCTTGCCATATGCGAAGTAAATAAGTCCACAGGTAGTAGCGTGCCAATTTCAAAAAAGCATTGGAACGAGGTTCGAAGCAAGTACTACCTGAGTGCTGTTTTTGAACTTGCGTTGCAGTCAGGCCAGCCATACTACTAACCATGGTCCCACGCGCTACTTATCTGCGCCCTCTCACTTCGGGCTGTTCTCTACCGCCGACTTTGTGTTCGTTGCGGAGTTCTGGAGTAAGGCAAGTGCTGCATCTCGAGGATAGCGCTGTCGGAGCCGGAACGGCTCTCGGGTACTACTTCCCTACAATCCCGTTCCCGCGCACCTTTAAGCGGAGAAAGTGACACGCTATTGCAGCTATGGACCTATTTAGTTTGCAAAAGGGGAGGGCCAAGGGAGAGGAGCGGACAGATTGTCTTCGAGGGAGCATTTTAGCCGTATCGCATTAGGTGAAACGCCGCAACTTGTTCTCTCACGATAAACTGAGCCTTTCATCTCCCACGGGTCGTCTGACTGGTACCGCACTGAAGGTAGCGCTTGAAACAGAAATACCAAATGACTCCACCAGATTAAGAAGGAGCAACTCAAGGTCTATTCATTTCATAGTCTAACATTTTTACTAGACTGGCCCTTGTTTGATTCCGAAAAGTAGCCATAATGAACGTGCCTTGCCTACTGCTGCATGCCTGATATTATGAGATTTAGAACGAGTCGGGGTCAGGAGATTCGAGCTGCAACAGGGCCTGCGACGTAGCCATGTATGTAGTAGCCTGGCGCACGCGGCGTCAGGACCTAACGCGAAAAAGGGGGGTGCTATGCCCGATAAGCTCGCCTCCATGCGCTACCGTGATTCAATCTCCTCTTACAGGATGCCAAAAGAAAACTCAAAAAATATTATCCGTGTCATAGTTGTATAACCAGAAAAACATGTTTTTTTCAATTAGTAAGTAAGTAAATAAATAAACAAATGAATGAATACATATGTGCCAAACAAATTGCTTTTAGGTCCATGGGATCATGTATGTTGTTGACATTTCCGACGAGGAGCGTCTAGAAGAGAACTACGAGACCATACGCAAGGTATTTCCAGATACAGTTACAACCACTAGACTCCAGAAGCCTCTTTCTCACTCCATTGTATTTATTGATTTTGCGCGCAACTAATCGATAGTGATTTTTTCGCTCAAAGGCATAAATGCGCCACACTTGTATTTCGAATTATGGGAACAGGCTATTATTTCTTCTTGCCTACCATAAAGAATATGAAAGAGGGGAGAAGAAGTTGAGAGAGGAATAAAATGTGCCCATACTGACCAATCAATCTAGCAATCCTTCTCAAAAAACTCAGAAAAAAGTTCGCTAAAAGTTTAGGAATTTTGGAACCCCGATCCGTGGTCTCGGTATGACCTCCCACAAGCCACTTACCGTCTTACCGAAAACTCAAAATTTTACCGTCGAGCGCGGAAAATGGGTGAACGACTCTGGTCAACTTTCAGGAGTACTAGTTTCCCCGTTGCGCCAAGCAAGGGAAGTTGAATTAAAGCGGACCTCGGACCTGGAATGGAGAAAGTAGCAGTTAGAAAAAAATTCCCTAGAGGCCAGCAACGACCTTATAGGTTTCGCACAACGAGGTGTCCGCTGGATCTCCACAGAGGTACTGCCAGAAGCCGTTTCTAGTGGTGCTCAATGAACAAAGAAGCACACCAAGAAATGTGAGCGCCTCTATCTCTTTGAATCTTTCGGTAACATAAAAAAGTACAGTAGGAAAGAAGCAGTTATGGTAGCCGGATGCCTGATTGTCTTTTCAGGGGGCTACGAATCAACCTGAGTGACACATGAATTAATCTGATAAACCCGTAAAAGCTTATAATAGTTACCCCGTTTCAGGCCGATCTCAATGAGAGCGGTACTGCACAGGGCCAGATGATCTTCATTACTCACGTCAACCAGTACAAGGGTGAGGTGAGGACTTTTAGTAATTAATATTGTGTCAGTGGCAGACCTGTTCGGGAACTTTAGGAACGTGCTCAGAAGATACAATACAAGAGAGATTTTGCAGTCCGAAGAATTGCTGCTACCGCTTTCAGCGCGCTTGGTCTAGTTCCTCAATATTCTCTCTTTGAAGTGCTCCCGATTCCCACTTCTACCGCCTACGGAACTGCTCGCCGACGCAAAGTTCCTTCCTGCAGTTACCTGGGTTACGGTAGCAGCTGTTCATGACTCCGAAACCTCCACTGTAATTGTAAATTTCTGATTTGAAGATGCTACTTTCAGCTCGACAATGCCAAATATCCACCGCCAATGGTAACGAAACGACCTCAACGTCAAGTAAATCTACTGCTGGCACAATTCTGCACGTTCATCGATAAGGTGTGTCATGAGCTTGTGATCAGAAATCTGGCGCAGGTTGTTCATTTGCTAACCATCGAACCTGATTGTTTCTTTTCTCACAAATACAGACGTAGCGCTCCAGTGCCATAGAACGCGGCCGTAGAAGGGTATCGATCGGCGCCGGCCGCTGGTGTTTTGAGAGAGCATAGAAGAATAAGAGGGTACGCGTAATCCGATCGCGCAGCCTGGTACAGTCCTATTGCCCTGTACTCTCTCAAAACAGTTGCGGTCGACGCCGATCGATACCCGTCTGCGGTTTCCACTCCGTGAAAACCTGGCGCAGGTCGCTGCAGCGCTTTCGCGTAGCGCGGCGTCGCGCTTCAACGCGCATCGCGAACTCTGAACATTGTCTATATAATTCGTTTAGCTTTGTTATAGATTATCGAGCATTATGTGTTCCTGTCCGAAGGTGTACATACAGCTGAGATGGAATTGAAAGTACGGCAACAAACCGAACGCGATGAGCGGCGGTTACGGTTGATGCGTCAAGAGCAGGATCGAGTCAATAGTGAAATAGCCGCTCTTGATCAGTGAGTTGCTTGTTCGAGTAACCACAATTGAAGTGCGGAGGGGGGGGGGACTAGCTCTCTCTCTGTACCTGTGTCTGTCTGCGTACTCTGCTGATGCCGCGACTCGGGAGTAACGCTCCACACCCAGTGGGTGGAGATTAGAACTCTAGTCAATTCAGCTGTTCCACGGATGAGCACAAGAATTTAGAGAGTAGATTTAACGCTTATTGCTTACAATTCAGACTAGGTCAGATTCGTCGGTAGTCTATGCTCAAACAATGGGCACGCTGGCTGAAGGGGGCGGGGGGGGACGAAGGGAGGGGGGGGAGATTTCTATCAGCGTACTGGTGGAAGAACAGTGGAGATTTGCCGCACAGCACCAGCCATCCTTCCACCAATGACGTGGCAGTAGCCGTCCACCTCCAGCCCACCATTCCAGGCTGTCTTTAGTACTGCTGCAAGATATTACTGCGCGGCCCTCGTGCGCTGTAACCGACTACGATAATCTCTGCGTCAGCTCGCATCCGTCAACAGCGTGAACACCGCTGAAGCTGCATTACCCGTCTTGCGTTTCTCTCGGCAGGAACAGTGTTCCAATTGAGTTTGGCTTAAAACGCCAACAAGGGCTCAGACAAGCAGAAGAGTGCGAGGCGGGTACGGGGGACGAGCGCTCAGTGACTACGGAGCCACCCCTGATCACCGTACTGCGCCTACTCGGCCGAGCACAGTGATCGTCTTCCTCCATACAGGCAGGAGCCTGAAGATAAAATAACTAGAAGTCGCGGCAATATATCTAGCCCGTCTCCCTCCAAAAACCTCCTTTCCCTGCCTCTGTCGACTTGTCTTGCCTCCCTTTCTTAATAGGGCATTTTGAATATTCCTTACAGAAAGGTCGATAACTGGTAATGTAAAGTGGTTAATAGGTATATTCGGCCGAGACCCTACTCACAACACTCGTCACCGAAGAGCCACAACTATCAAATGTCGAGGAAGAAGAAGAGGAGAATCATCCTGAATCCAGGCCAAAAACAGCATCGACTTCGCCATCCGTGTCCGATACTCAATCTCCGGTATGTTTCCCAAGACACACTTACGCAGCCAGATTTCGCGACGGCAGCGCTTCGGTCGCGCGTTCGACGCGATCGATGCAGTCGAAACATGCGTATCGATCGCGCCGAACGCACGACCGAGGCGCTGCCGTCCACGAAGTCTGAACGCTGCCTTACTCGTAAGGGTTTTTTTTTTAACTGATTTCACACACTTCAAAGGCAGTCGATTCACGCTCATGTCTTCCGTTTCCGCAGATGTAAAATTACCGAGGTATTGGACCACCTCCTGCAATTGGACCACCTCCTGCACCTTTACCTCATCCACCTCCGCCAAAGCCGGCTCGTAGTAACCAGGTTGCGCCAGCACCATCGAACGGTAGGTACCTGGGCGTTATTCGGCTTAGAGGGAGCATTCGTGTTTCTTCGGTTGTTTCTTGTTAACTTGCAACTCTCACTTCGGCCAGACCTGCAATTTCCTGTGAAGCTGCGAAATTGTTCGATTGGTTCGCTTCGGTCACAAGAATTTACAGGTCTCAACGAGGTAGCCTTACAAGCCTACGGGCTACCATTCATTGCCCCCACCAAGCCGACCTGTGCCTTTATTTACTCAGTTCGCTCTTTTCCAGCCTTTAAAGGACGCAGAACAAGTTTCCAAAAATTTCAGGGATCTTGCAGCCTTTACCACCTCTTCGAAACGCTGACATTTTCACCGTCGAAGGGTCAAAGGAGCTGTATACCGTTTTTCCGGAAGCACCAGGTTCCTTACTTCAACCTGTTCGTCCCTTTCATCAAAATGCAGTGTTTCTAATCCAAAACTTCAGCTATAGAGAAGCACCTAAGAAGAATGCGCAGAATTCAAGCAGGTCTACGCAGACGAGCCGAAGAAATGAAGATGAAGAACGACGAACTTCAACTTGAGTCACTGTGATCATAGTCCTATCAAATTTTTACACGGGTATACTTTTTTGCCAATAAAATCACTCATTTCACTGATAACAAGTTTATCAATAACAACAAACAACAGAAGGCGCTCAATCGAAAAGACCGAATCCCATGTCGTCATCGGATTCCTCCTTGGGCTCTTCCTTCTTCTTGGTCTCCGCAGCTGGGGCAGCTTCAGCAGCAGCAGGGGCGGCACCAGCAGCAGCAGCGGGTGCAGGACCAGCCGAACCAGCTCCAGAAGATACCGACGTGATGAGGTTCTAAAACAAACCTTTAGACATTTGCGACATCTCGGGGTGCGAATGCAAAGCGTGAGGCCGCGTTCACACTGCGGGGATTCACCGATTCGAGAGTATGCGACGAGGAAGGCATAGGTATCGATCTGGTGATTGCGGAGATTGGGCGATCTAGCGATTTGGGAGATTTGCAGCTTCCAACGATTCCAAAAGAGTAGATGGGTATCGATCGATGCTGGTCGCTAGAAATTGCGAAGATTCGACGACCCAGCTCCTGAACGCCATGCCGGACGGCCGGTTCTCGCCGGATCGTCGAAACTGCGCAATCGCTTGCGATCGGCACCGATCGATACCCATCCACACTTTCGGCGCGAACAGACGGAAACACCGCCATTCCAAATTGCGAGATCGCTTTGTCT